TGGATGGATGGGTGGATGGGTGGATGGATGGATGGATAAGTGGGTAGATGTATAGGTGGGTGGATGGGTGAATGGGTGGATGGAAAATTGGATGAATGGGTGGATAGGTAGATGAATAGGTGAATAGGTGGAGGGGTGAATTGGATAGGTAGGTGGATGGGTGGATGTTTTGATGGGTGGGTGGGTAGGTGGGTGGATGGATGGTTTGATGGGTGGGTGGGTGGGTTGACAGGTAAATGGCTTGATGGGTGGATGGATGGGTGAAGGAAAAAGGGCAGGGTGTGTCCTGCTGAGGCCAAAGCCTGCATTTTCTGGCCCTGCCTCCCCTTTTCTCAGGTTTCCCAGGGAAAAAAGTGGAATTTCTTCATAAGGTTGTGGGCTCCCTCCTCTGGGAGATGGGACCTTCAGAGGAAGTGTGTCTGGGACTTCCTGGGGCTGAAGGTCACACACAGCTCTGTGTACCCAACATTTCCACGTGAAGTTGGTGTTTGGAAGCAACGTGCTCGGCCCCTGGTGGGGAGAGGCCATGACTGCCACCCCTGCTGAGCCCCTCCCTCAGGCTGCAGGACACCCACATGAGCCTGGGGGGAGTCTGGCAGGGAGGACAATTATGTGAATGTGACCATACCTCAGGTTTTGGCTATGACAGAGGGGGGCGTGGCTCTGGGGTGAGATCAGGGAAGGCTTCCTGGAGGAGGTGCTGTTGAAGCTGAGACCCACTGTGGCAGTGCCACCAGACCTGGGGCACTGAGTTGGGTATGGGGGTGTGGGGGGTCCTGGGCCGCAGGAGCTCTGGAAGACGGCAGGAGCACTGCTTCTTTGGGGCCCTTGGGCCTTTCCTCTCTGGTTCTCTGCTCAGGCCTGGCTCAAGGCAGCTTTCCCCTATGCTGGCCCCTGGGGCTTCAAGGGACCTAGAGCCTGGTGACAGTGCCATGCGGAGCACAGCACCCCCACCTTGGCTTGTCCTTCGGCCCCCTCTCGGGGTGGCGGCAGTGGGCGGCCTCTGGAGCCTGCTCTCCCTGGGGTGGCGGGGAGCCCCGCGCACACTCACCCGAGGCTGCTGGTGTAGGTCTGGCCCAGGGCGCAGTCGTCAGGAGGTGACAAGGGGTTGAACCAGAAGTTGGCAGCGCACTTGTCGGCCGACTCCGGGGAGGGCGAGCGCTCAAACCCGTAGTCACTGTGAGGAGCCAGAACAGCGGTCAGGCAAGAGGCACTGGTGGGGACAGCAGCCCGCCAGGGCTGGGCAGGGCATGGGACCGCACGTCCAGAGCCTGCCGTGCTCCTGTCCGTGGGGACGCAGGGGCGACCCCACACAGCCTGTCCCAGAGCGGGAGAGAGGCCTGACCCAGGGCAGGTGCCATCCAGAGCGATAAGCCCCAGGTCCCGGAGGGCTTCCTGGAGGAGGATCCAAAGATGCCCCAGACCCAGTGGTGGAGGGGAGCCCTTTCTGTCCCAGCACCCCCAGAGCAGGGCAGAGGCCAGCACCTGCTGTGGCCAGCTCTCCAGTCACACCCGGCCACCTCGGCCCTGTCCTGTGTATCACAGCTGAGTCCCTAAGTCCAGTGTCCCCTGAAGGAGTGTGGAGAGCAAGCCCACCATGGAGGTGCCCACCCCGGAGGCCTCCGCCACAGGGAGGGCCTGGGGGCAGGCCATCGTGGGGGTCTGCACCCACAGCCTCCTTGCCTCCTCCAGGGCACTGCTGAAAGGCACGGGCCTCTCCCTGCTCTGCTCAAACCTGCCTGTGGGGCTGCGCTGGCCTGGGGTGAGCGCCCGCCTGGCACGTGCCCGGCCCGGGGTCGACCCTCAGCTCCCCACATAAATGAATAAGATTAAGTCCATCGACAACTAAAAACATTTAAAAACCCCCAAACAGAAACCAACCCCTGTGGCTGCCCCTGCCCACGGGACACGGCCCCCCAGGACCGCCCCACCGCCCACCCCGCTGCCCAGGCCCGGCCTCCAGCTGAGGACTCACCAGAGGAAGTCCGTGTCCCGGCATGGGCACACGCGGGACTTGAGGGCTGCCGTGAAGCTCCGCCCCTTCACACACCAGGACGTGGGCTTCCTCTTCCGGAAACTTCTCTGCTGGCCCATAATGCAGTCGTCRCCCTGGAGCAGGGGCGAGGAGCTGGGATGAGGCAGCAGCTCCCTCCCAGGGGTGCGGGTGCTGGGGCCCTGCAGCTGGCTCTGTCCCTGGCAGCAGCTGGAGGGGCACCCCATTCACAGAAGGGGACACTGAGGTCCAGCAGAGGACAGGGTGGCCTCCCTCTAGCCCGACTTGTGAGCATTCATTGTGCATCTGCTGTCTATTAGCCCTGGCCGGGCCTCAGGTCCAGAGCTGCTGGACAGGTGGCCCCTAAGTTCCCCTTTGACCCCCGGGCCACWGGGAGCGCGGAGGCCACTCCCCGAGGAGGACCTCAGGGATGCCCAGAGCACTCGCCCCGTCCCTGCAGCAGGCCCAAGCAGTCACGGGGTCTGCTGGGCCAGGCGTGGGCAGGCTCCGGAACCTTCTCCTAGGCCCCTCTGCAAGGTCCGGCTTGGCAGAGTCTGGCGCAGCCTGAGCCAGAATCTCGCCCCACATGGGACCACCCTGTGTTGGGTGGACACCCTGTCACCTGTCAGGTGGTGTCTGGCCCTCAGCAAGGTCGCCTGGCCACAAATCCTACTTGCCCACGCCTGTCCATGTTGAGCCTTCTCGCCCTCCGTGGGCCCCAGGGCAGTGGCACCTCTGTAAGGGTCCTCAAGGAAGTATCCTGTCCCCCCACCCCCGGGTAGTCATCTTCCCTCGACAGCCCTGCCCACAACCCCAGTGTCCTCCAGAGCGGCCTGCTCAGCACCGCTGTCCCCGCAGGTGGGGATGTTAGCCCGTGTGCCCAGACCCCCCTGTGCGCTCCCTCCCGAGGGCCGGAAAGCCCAGAGCCCTGCTCGGTGCCGGAGCAGCCCAGGCCCGAGGGACGCGCTCAGAACACCCAGAGGCTGGTGTGGTGGGTCCTCTGTGGACGCCCTGGAGGAGGAGAGGTCCCGGCTGGCCAGCGCTGGGGCAGGCGGAGGGGGCGGGGCCAGCGGTCCTGGCCGCACCTGGAGGTTGGTGAGGTCCCAGGAGCTGTAGTCCTCCTCAGAGCACTGCCTGGAGAAGGAGGGCCGGAAGTCCACCTTGACCAGCTCCCAGTCGGAGCGGAAGCTGATGTGGCCGAAGACCCTGCGGGGGAGGGGGAGCACCGCCTTAGTCTGGCCTCTCTGCTGGGCACACGTGTCCCCCGCGACTCGGTCCACCTGCCCCAGGGCCCAGCGAGGCCGGCCTGCTCTTGCCGGGCTGCAGGGCTGTGCCCTCTGCAGGTGCTGGGCCAGCCTTGGCAGTAGGGTCCCCAGAGACCGCTCCCCAGCTCTGGTCGGTCAGGGCGCTGGCCTGGGCCATCCCACCCACAAGGCCGCCCTCGATGGCAGGGAAGAGCTCCCAGCTGGCCGCCGCCCTGGCCTCCTGGCTGTCCCGGGGCCATCCACAGCCCCACCCAGCTGGACCTTGCACTATGTCTTGCAGAAGGACCCCAGACAGGTGGCCACTCTTGGCCCTGTCCAGCTTGTCCCAGTCCTTTCCCCGCCTCCCTCGGCCTGAGCAGCAGAGGGTTCTGTGTCCAGGAGCCGGTTTCCATAGCTGGGTCTCATTCCAAAGAGAAAATGCACCCCAAGCCCAGCTCAGAGCAGGCAGGGGAGAGGGGGCAGCAGCTCTGCCGTCCCTGCACGCCTCCCTGTCCTGCGCCCACGTCCTGACCAGCATCTCTCCCCAGGCCTCCCTGCCCTCAGCCAGCGCCCACGTCCTGACCAGCATCTGTCCCCAGGCCTCCCCCCCTCAGCCAGCGCYCACGTCCTGACCAGCATCTGTCCCCAGGCCTCCCCCCCTCGGCCAGCGCTCACGTCATGACCAGGGTCTCGTCTCCAGGCTCGCTCAGCAGGCCGTCCACGAACACGGAGGTGCTGGTGAAGTTGTGTGTGCTCCAGGTGAGGCCCTCGTCCACGCTAAACCTGCAGGAGGGCCGCAGTGTCCAGGCGAGGCGGAACACACCTCGGCTTCTGGGACAGTCCACCCCTAGGGCCCAGCCACTGTCCCACGGAGGCCAGCCCAGCCTCGCCCCTGCCTCGTGCCCGCTCACACCCTCCTGGCCAGCGGCAGGCCCCGCCCTGGGCACCCCATCTGCGGCACCTGGGTACCCTGCACCCATGGACGGCAGCACGGCCGAGCTCTGGGAATGTCTAGTTCAGCCTGCCCAAGGCTGGGCCTGGCCAGCAGAGTCTGGGCCAGACAGGTCCAGCGTCCTGGTCCTGCGGCTTCCTGGCAGCCCCGGCTGGGCCTCTGAGCCCAGGCTCACCTGGGGCACTGGCCACAGCTGCCCTGGCTCCCCGCCTCCCTCCCTCCACCAGGACCCGTGGGTGAAGGTCCCTCTCTGGGAAGGGCCCGCCCCTGCCCACACGCTGTGTTGCTTCCCCGTCTCTGGTCTCCTGAGGGAGGACCATGCAGCTCCAGGTGCTCTGGGAAGGGCTTGGGGGGCAGGTGACACCCAGGACCTGGGGCCCATGGGGACAGTCCTGGCTGTGGTCAGGGCCCCGCGCTGGCCGCACGTTACTTGAGGATCTTGAGGGGGATGGAGGTGTCCTTGATGGCCGCGATGACCCCGCCGTGGTCCAGGTAGAGGATGTGGTGCTCCTCCTCGAACACCTGTGGGCATGGCGGGTGCTGAGCACAGCACTAACCTGCCCACCTGTGCTGGTCACGAGAGGACGTGCCACGGCTGGAAGCGAGTGTCCCCAGGGTCCCCGGGTTGAAGGTGTTGGGCATCGACCGACCTTTAAGAGGTGGGCCTCATGGGAGGGAGAGGGACCTGCCCTGACCCTGCCAGGCTCACTGCGTCCTGTCTGGCCCACCTCCCGCCACCTGTGGATGCCCACGCCTCGCCCCAGATCCTCCAGAACTCCAAGCCCAACAGGCCCTCTAGTGGGCTGCCGCAGGAACGCCGTTACAGGGACGCCAGGTGGAAGATGCAGGGTCCCCTGCCTCTGCCCCAAGGACTGGTGCTCAGTCCTGCTGCAGGGGGCGYGGAGGTCTGCACAGGGAGGGGCTCCAGGAAGTGGAGAGCCGGTGAATCTACCAGGGAAGTGCCCCCCTCGGGGGGTGGGGGCAGCAGGTGCAAAGGCCCTGGGGTTAAAATGGTGGTCCCCCAGGAGAGTGGGGCTGACTGACACTGGAGCTCTGGGGGCCATGCTGCCCCAGGAGGCTGTGGCTCTGAGTGTCAGCGCACCATGCGGAAGGCGAGATGCCGAGGCCTGCAGCATAGGGACTGGCCCATTCCCTCCTGGAAGCTCCCCTGGGTGCTGGGAGTGGGCGGGCGTGACCTTCTGAATGGGGACTTCTCCTTCTGCCCGTGCCCCCCGCTCCTGCTCCAGGTGGCCCAGCAGCTCCTGTCCCACTAGGCTGCCCCAGGGTTGGAGCCTCTGAAAGAGCTGGGAAGAGGCCCAGTGGGAACAGCTGACCTCTAGCTCCTGTTTCACTGGACTCCAGGTCTCAGGGGCCGGGGCGGACGGATGGGACAGAGGTGACCTTTAGAGACTAGACGGCTTCCCTGGTTCAGTGAACAGGGACATCACAACGCGACAGATYCCTCCTGCCCTTTTCACAATCCCTTGTCTCTTGCATGTCGTTAGAGGGACGTCAAGGTCTTAGGCCGGGATGGCAGGTGAACTTTGTCTGCCTGGGCAGGTGGCGTGTTGTCCAAGTGTCACCTGGGAGGGGCCACCGCTGTGACTGCCCAGGGACAGGGCTTCCTACACGTGGGCGGGGGAGGTGCAGGCCCAGGTCTAGGTCACCTCTTAGCCACTTGGAGCAGCACTGTCATCCACCAAGCCCCCACCCCAGGAGCAGCGGTCGGCAGTGTCCTGCAGGATGGGTGTGGGTGGGCACGGGCCACTGTGCCACCTTACCTGCCGCCAGCTGCGCCCGCAGTCCGCTGTGATGTACATCTCCTCTTTGTACTCCACCAGCTGTGAGCCCAGGTTACCTGCCCCAAGGCAAAGGGACAGCGTTGGGGTCGGGTCAGCGGCTGCCCTCTGCCCAGGTCGGAGCCCAGCACAGCCGGGCCCAAGGGCTGCCTGGGCTGCACCTCCTGCCACCTAGCCACCAGAAGTGTGTCCCCTGCCGTCCTCTTCTGATGTGGACCTGCTGGGGGTGCTGGGCTCTGGCTGGTCCCCTCAGTGCCCTGGTGCTCACTGAGCTGGGGCCAGGGCCTCAGGCGGTTCAAGAATGAGAAGGTGCGGCTTGGTCATCAGGGACAGCAGCGCCGGGGCTGGGCAGGCAGTGGGCTCAGGGCAGCCCCCAGCCCGGCCGGGTTTGCTTTAGGAGAGCAGGAGACCAGGGGTGGGAGGCGAGACCCTGGGTGGAAGGCAGGGTCGGCCCCTCCAGGTGGGTGTGAAGCCCCCGCTGGGGGTGTCTGGGAGAGGGGGAGGGCACGCGAGCCTCCACTTCTGTCCACTGGCCTGAAGCCTGCTACAATGGCCACTTGGGCTCACAGAATCCTGTGTGCATTGGCTTGGAAAGAGCCTCCACCCAGGACCTCGACAGCCAGCCAGGCTCTGAGGTGGGGTGACTCGGGGAGTGGAGAGGAGACCAGAGGGAAGGGAGATCAGCACCAGCCTCGCTCACCCAGGCCTGCCCCCCCAGGACTGCGCCCCCAGGTCTGCTCCCCCAGGACCGCTCCCCCAGGTCTGCTCCCCCAGGACCGCTCCCCCAGGACTGCTCCCCCAGGCCTGCTCCCCCAGGTCTGCCCCCCCAGGTCTGCTCCCCCAGGTCTGCCCCCCCAGGTCTGCTCCCCCAGGTCTGCCCCCCAGGTCTGCTCCCCCAGG